AGAAAACCTGAATTGCTTACCCATGTTTAATGATTTCATAGTGCACTCTACAATAAAAACTGTGTCACGTTTCTACTCTAGAATTTAACAATTTTATGATGGCAAAGGGAAAAAAATATCTACTTCTAACTTGTGATAGAGGGTATGAAACAAATTCAAAAAGGTTTCTCTGAATTCTCAATAATAAGTAGATTCAGGCTGAGGCGAAAATAGAGGCATTACTTGGAAGAACTAAGATTTGAGCTGAGATATGAAAGGAGAGAAAGAGTTTACCTGCTGCCAAATGGGAGTCACATGAAGGCAGGAGAAGGGAGACAGAGAAGAAAACCAAGCACAAACTTGGGGAATATCAAACAAAGCCTTAGCACTGAAGATACAGTCCCAGAGGAAGATGCAAGGGGAAAGCTGAAAAAAAAAAAAAGAAAAGAAAAGAAAAAAAAGAAGTCTAAGTCAAATATAGGGCTGTGAAGATAAGAATTATGTGGAAAATATGCCACTGTATTAAATGAAGACCAAAGACATTATGAAAGAAGAAAAATAGGTTTCAAGAAGTCTGCTATCAAATCTGTCCTGTTGTTTGCAGTGTTGCCCTTCAAAGACGCATTTTTGTCATCATTGACACTTGTAGCAGCCCCTGAATGGCTGGGCACACACCTTCCTGACACCAAGAGGGGACCATTTTTCTCTTGCCAGAAAACTACCCCAGGTATCTTCAGCTTTTATGCAATCCTGTCCTACCATCCATTTCCCTTAGAAGTTCCTCTGTGACCTTTAATCAGTGTGAACTCCTTCCAAACCACTTATTATACATATTGGGGCTTTAAATTTTTTTTCTATTCAAAGTAATTTCCTTCACCCATACAGCTACCATATGCTGGAACACGACAATGCAATGCTAATTGCACATTATGTTGAGATCTCAAGCATATGCGATGGTTTCTCATCACTCCTCTCAGCGCCTGGTGTTGCTGAGATCGGGCTGCATGCCCACGGGTTTAACTGTTATTCTGTGGTAACTTTGTAAGAATAGTAAGCTCCTTTCTCTATATAACCTTTTCCTTGAGGTTGTACTTCTTTTAAAATAAGTTCTCATAAAATTGTTGCACTCTTATTATCATTTATTGAAAGCAGATATTATTTTAAGATAACCTTAATTTCTCATATTTGCAAAGACTTCAGAAACCTGTCCTTATGAGCATTTGAAAAGAGGCCGTGTCACAGGTGCTGAGAGGATCTTTTACTACAATAAAACTGAAAAATAATTTGATAATTGACATTCAAATGATAAATATTTGGACTGGGATAATATTTACAGGACTCTGTAAATGTACAAAAAGTCATTCAACTATACTCTTGAGAGAATTCTTTGGCATGTAAATTATATTGCCATAAAGAAATTTTGAATATGTTTAAAATACACATTGCCTGACATATCAATTCCACCACTATGAATGGATTGAAGAGAAAATGTCTTATCTGATAAAAGGATGCTACAGGACTATAGAAAATCCAAATATTATCATGGTCAACCTTTTTTAAAAAAGTAAGAGTACAGATATATAAATTTCAAGCTTAAAATAAAAAATCACCAGAAATACTAGCACAACAGTCTGCACTGTCAGGACATTGGGACTTCCAATTTCATTCTACATACATTCTAAAGATGGCATTAGAAAGATGGGATTAACACAAAAGGAGAGTATGGGAGCCCACTCGACTAAGCGACAATGCACAAATTCATCCAGATCTTACTTTGATTGCTTTCAATTCTTGAAATATTTCACTTCCTTCCATAAGTGCCACAACCTTTTGTCCAACTTTTAGAGGCATATTGTCAGCGACAATATCAGAGGTGAAGTAGATCCACTCATTAATGAGGCCATAATCACCACATAAATTTGTTACAATTCCCTGTATACTCCTCAACTGGATGTCGGCTATGAGATAGGAAAAGAAAGATTAGTAATCTGATGGCCCATAATACAGTACTTCACTGACATCTGTGGAACCCTGGGCACATTTCTGAACTTCTCTGGTCCTGCTTTCAGCTATCAAACTAAGACAGTGACAATTTCTGCCCAACAGCATTGTTGTGACTGTTGACTCAAATATCAGCTGTTTAGACTGCGAGTGCCCTGTATGAATTAGAGTGCAAAGGTGACTTGATATCACCATATATGCATATGAGAGTCTCTAAGCTTTCACTATTAATACCTGCCATCATCATTTTCAAAATTATGAGCAGTCACACCTATATCTTCTCAAATTTATCTTACCAGACAAAGTAGAAAGATGTACCTGGATATGTAATGTTAGCCCCAAACCTATCTAAATTTTTCTCTTTCACTTTTTATTAATTCTTCAGGAGTATTGGTTATGTACAGCATCTGACTGTAGCAGTCCACCTACACAAAGTCCCCCTGCACTCCAGATATGTGACTCATCCAACTTGGTTTCAAATGCGTGCCCGTCTGGGATACAAAACCAAATTGAACTTCCAATTAGGGAACATTGTTGCCCCCTTGTTAAGATGAAAAGGGCAGGAGTTGCACAAGGCCTGTGGGGTATGCATGGCTTTCTCAGCCAGCACCTTCCCACCTTGGACTAAGGAAGAGCATGAGCCTTTCACGAATGGCAGCCTAACTATTGGGCACTGGGAGATTTGGGGACGCCCTACTCCCATGGATCCATGCACAAACTATACACGAGATGGATCCACTGCTCACCACCTACCCACCCACCCACCACCACCCCTTGTCCTGGTCCCCGTGCACTGAGTGTGTGACACCACAGCCCGCTGATAAGCGGTCAAAGAAGCCCCCTGCGGAGGCTCCTTGCGTCGGTGACTAAGGGACATACAGAGGGGTACCTTGCTGGAGCTCGGCCTGCTGGGAGTGCTGCTCCTGGGCGGGGTCTGCCCTCCTCTGGAAGAAGGCCAAGGCTCGTCTCAGAAGCCTGAGCATGGTGTCCTCGTCACCACAGACAGACCTGGGCACTGCGCGAGACGTGAAGCTCGACGTCGGCCTTTGCCGGCCTTCTCTGGTCAGAGCTGCCGGGGGCGAGCGACCTCCTGCTTCTGTCTCTCGGCGTGCCAGGTGAGCCCCAAGCACTAGTGAACCGTTCCAGAGGAGGGAACCTCCGGGAGAGCCCCTGTACACCTCCTGGACGCACGGGGACCCAGCGCCCCACCACGTTCTCGAGGCCAAGAAAATGGCGCCCGCGGCCCTGAGGGGAGGAGCGTGTGTCTCCACGCCCCCTGCCTCCTATTGGTGCGGGCCTTGCGCGTGCTCGTGCTGCAGCCCCATTGGCTGCTGGCAGGAGGGCCAGCTGTGCGAAAGCGCGTGTTCAGGGAGCAGAGCATGATGGGTACATCGGTGTTCTGGGGTGGCACTGCCATGCTGGCTTTCCTGTGGTCAGTAGGAGACAGGGAGTTGGACCCATGGCTTCTCCCATCAATGCTCAGGGTTCCACTGGGGTAGCCTCATGAAGGTGGCTTGGGGGGTCTGGCTTTGCGTGTGCTGAGGTACAGGCCCTCTCCTCTGAGGAACCCGGTCAGGACGCACATTGCTCCAGCCACAGGCCATGTTCCTGAGGCCAAGATCATGGTGCCCCAGCATTGATTGCAGGAGCTGTGTGTTTCCACACCCACCGTCCTCTATTGGCTGGAGGAGCACATGCGCCCACTTGCCGCATTCCCATTTGCTTATGGCAGTAGGGGGCATGCCTTGCAGAAGCCGGTGAAAAGCGGTGACAGTTTGAGAGCTCCGTTATCGTTCTCTGGGTGGGGGTGGGGGTGGCTTGTTGCTTCTCCTGTGTCTGCTGGTTGAGGACACATGTAGCTCCACCTGTGAACTCTGAGGCCATCACTAGTGCAGCCTCAGGAGTGACTTGGGTACTTGCGCCTTGTGTGTCCTGAGGCGGTACATGGTATCTTCTATGAGGTTCCCTCAGGCTTGTATAAGAGCTGTTGGGCACATGTCTCTGCTGTGTCTGCTGCTGGTGGGCAGAGTCTGCCCTTCTCCAGAACATGGATACAACCTTTCTCAGAATCCTGAGCTTGGTGTCCTCATCACCACAGGCCTGGGCAAAGCTCAGCAGAGAGGATGTACAACTGTGTAGTGGGGTCCCCTTTTGGTTAAAGTGGCCTCTCAAGAGCAGCCTCTTCTGCTTCTCTTCCTCACAATCAACGAGATGGGACTCAAGTGCAGCCCTCAGATCCAGCTTGCCAGGGCCACTACAACAGCTCCAGTGTGTCCATCACGCTCTTGCCCCCAGTGAAGTCTTTTTAGGGACATCTGTCCTGGCCTCCATCCAGTGAGAATGCAGCATGTGGGTGCACATGCCCTTGTAGCCAATAGGAGGAGGTGGGATATTGGTCAGAGTGATAATAGGACTTCAGGCTTTTTTTCGCCTCACAGGCCACTGTAAGTTCTTTGATGTTTACTGAACAGGATGTGTGCATCTTTGTAGGATTTGGACCCTTGAAGGATCTCTCTGGCTACTTCCTTGTGATTAGTTTGTAGGCAGCAACAGCCTGAAGCATAGAGCTTCCATGCCATATTCGGATCTTGAGTCCAGAAAAACATATGGACACAGCCTGAGCTAATGACCACATGAAGGGGCAAGTCAGGATGATGTTCAAAGACATCATCCACTAATGACAGGGGCATTAGTTGAGACCCACTAAACACACATCCTCCTTCTCTCCACCAGTCATGGCTCCTCTACCTGAAGAGAAGGCTAAGAATACTTTCTCTTTTGTATCTCATATGTTGGAGGGGTTGTGATGAAAAGTGGATCAAGGGTGTGGGTCTCTGAAGATGCAGGGTGGGTGTCTATAAAGGATAAAAGGAATTGGTAGAAAAAGCAATACAGACTTGTATAGACCGTTCAAGAATGTACAAAGCATGCATTAAAAAATTCTAAACAGTCTTGGGACCAGCATTTAGTGTACTGTCTATGTCACTGAAGTCCCTTGTAGCCGACCACGGTTTGAGTCCTGAACCCGGTGGCTTAAACTCACGCTGGACGCGTGTGCGTGCGAGCCCAAGATCCCGAGAGGAGAATGGAGGGGAAGGGATTGCGGCATGGCCATCCCCCCTAAGGGGCGATTTCTCACTTTCTATCTCCCTGTCTCTCTGTGTCTTTCTGGTGCACACATGCATCCTATAGCAAAAACCTCTCCAAAAAAAAAAATCTAAACAGTCTTGATTCTCTGTCATATAAGCGAAGAGTATAAAAGTTAAACTTTAAGCCATATATTCCTTTTCATTGGTTGAGTTTAATTCTTTGAAATAAGTTCCAAGTTGGGATATCATTTTTATCATTTGTGCTTTCTAGAAATGAATGTCTTTCAGGTGACTTGTTATTCTTTCTTCTTTCCTTCTTTTCCCCCAATATGAGGAACTTCCGATGTGGAATGGAATACTCTGTCACATGACATTTCCATTTTAATTTAAATTATTGCCTGTGCTTAGGGGATATGCAGAGTGTATTCATGATGGGAAAATTCATTTGGTATGCTGTAATGATACACAGAGACTAAATGTATAAAAATAAAATAATAATGATAATAATAAAAAAATAATTCCCTCCTATTATTTGAGGCCTAAGCAGGTTTATTTGTCTTGAAATAATATGATGCCCTGTGTTTCCATGTTTTGGGGGACAATGAGCAAAACAATTATCTCTAGAAGGCTCTATGAAAATGGCTTCCTGAGAATTACTATGTACCCTAAAGCCTAAACCAGAACACAGTCTGCTCATGGTGTGTTTTCACTAGGGCAAGCAGTTAGGTCTCAGAGAATAACACAGTTGGGTACTCTCAAATATGGCTCAGGGGCAGAGCCTCCATAACGAAAGATGAAGTCCTGCCTAACTATGCTGTCACATTTGTTTTCTAAACTAATGGTGGAAGGACTCTGCAGTGCAGCAAGATGTCACTAGCTCCAGTGTCTGACAGCTCCTGCATAGAAAGTTACAATGAACAAAGGCCCTTTCCAGTGAAATCCAAGAAGCTGAAGTCAGCAAATGCACATCAACCCAAAATGACCCAACCTCTAGTTTAACAGTTGAAACAAGGGAGGACTTTTATTCTAAATTCTTTTTTTTTGGTTGTTTTGTTTTTTGTTTGTTTCTTTTTGTAATTTTCAGACTACCAAGGAGTTATAAGCATGCAAGTCAGACTTGTTGGCAAAGCCAGCTGCACTCAGGTGAGGTGACTTAGTTCAGCATCCACACCCACTGTGACAGGTCTACATTGTTTTGGTATCTCCCCACTTGTCTGCTGATGAGGTATTTGAGCACGTTTTTGGAAATCACTTTGGATTTAGAATATTTGTCTCCCTTCTTCCCAATTTTCAGTGGAGGTAGTCTGAGACTGTCCTTAGAGTGTTCTTTATCCATTATGGTCAACTCCACAGTCAGCCTCAGGAAGACAGCACAACTGAGAAAGCCTGAAAAAGATGATAAAATTCAGATAATTAAGTGGACCCAGAGTTCTTGCTCATGATTATCTACTGGCTACATGCTCATGCTCACACACACACACACACACACACACACACACACACATGCTTGGTAGAGAGGAGGGTTGTATGTCCATTGGAATGGAGTTGTAGGGTAGGTGTCATCAAAAAGCAGTAGC